CCCCGGTCAAGGTCGCCGTCGGACCGCTGGGAGGAGGGCGGCGAGTACTGGGCGTCGCGGAGCCCCTCGCCGGCGGGGGCGACGCCGCTGCGGGCAGCCATGGCGACGCGGTCGGAGACGCTCGGCGTCCGGCGCCGCCTACGAGGCGGCCGCAGGGACAAACTAGTTGGAAAGACGTCGCGTGTCTTCGGCGGCGCTGGTGCAGGGCGGGTTCAGTAGGTTTGGGCCGTCACTTCTGCTCCAATTGACTTGTCCCTTTTGAAGCCAAAGATTACACAGACGCGGAGACAGAAGTAGGATTCTTTCCTTTGGTTAGTTTCTGATTCGCAGGTCCAGAGCCTCTTCAGGCCTCCTTGAAGGGGACTTGCCTCCGCCCAAGGCTTCTCTGATTAAGTACCATCCCTATTGTTAAGTATTATCCCTCCCTGTGGGTTCCTAGCAAGCTCTCCTGACCCAGGGGAGCGTCCTGTAGGGGTTCCTTGCTGTTTGGAATCTTTCTGTGAGCAGATCTCCAGGTTTTACTCCGGGGTGGCTTCCAACTTTAGATCTTTGTGTTTGGAGCTAAGCAATGGGCCTCAGAACCGTAAACCTACAAATGCCAGACTAAGAGAAGCTCAGAGATTCCAGTGGCCATGCCTGAAGCTTCTTGACCAGCCTTCTTCCCTTCTTCTTACAGATCAAAACTTCCCACCCAGGAAAGCAATTGATAAGGCCTTTTCTTAGCTCTCTTCACCCATAAAAACAATGAAAGAGGTCATTTGCTTAGTAGTATGCCCCCCCCTATGAATGACTATCTTTAAGATGACATTACTACAAACAAACTTGCAAGGAAGTAAGTAACTCTCACTCCGAACAAATGGTTCTAGAAACTGCCACTTTGGTTAGGGAAAGACCAGAGGAGTTGGAAAATTCCACTGAAAAACACCCTAAGGATAAGGGAGTGATGAAGAAGAATTCAGTTGATAAACTGCACTAAAAAAAAAAAATCCTAATTCAAGGACCCTGCAAGCAGAGAACTTTTAAGAAACACAAGATGTATAGGAGCATATGGGCGAATACGGCTCCTATGAACTGCTACCATCAGAGGAAGTTAGATGGAGGCTTGGCTGTTGAGACCATTCATCTGTGAAGAACGGACAAGAGTACTTAGGTGGAAGAGGATCTGTATCCAAATTTTCAACTTGAAACAATTACCAAGAAATAAAAAGGGTGCTATGTAGGACCGGGATGGGGGGTGGTGGAAAAGGGGAATGGATTACAAGGACCCACATATAACCTCCTACCTGTGGGATGGGCAACAGAAAAGTGGTTGAAGGAAGTGGGTAAGATATGACAAAATAATAATAACTTATAAATTATCAAGGGTTCATAAGGGGGGAGGGGGTGAAGGTAAAATGAGGAGCTAATGCCAAGGGCTCAAGCAGAGAGCAAATGTGTTGAGAATGATGATGGCAACAAATGTGCAAGTGTGCTTGACACAATGGATGTATGTATGGATTGTGATAAGAGTTGTAGGAGCCTCCAATAAAATGATTTTTTTAAAATCGCAATACCCCTCAGGGATGGGACCTTATTTCAGAAATTAATTTTCACCCAGTTGATCCGGAACATTAGACCAATCAAGGATGCTAGTAATGTAAGCAAATAAAGTGATTTATTGACTGGAGGCCCATGAACTGGTTACTCATTTTTTGCAATAAGTACTGAGCATCTGTTAGATATCAGGCACTACACTAAGCATGGGGTCTATCATGTCTCTGCTCTCTTAGAACTCTCTATCTGTGGGAGGAATCTGATGCTGGTCCCACCTGAGCCCTAACAGCCCCAGGCTGCCAGCCTGTAGCAAAGAGACATGTTAGAGTGAGAGCTGGGTCCAGTCACCATTCCTCGCAGGGTAGGGGCTGCTCCTCCCCCACTGATGAAGGAAAGTCTAAGAGCAGAAGCCAGGAAAGGGGAGGCCTGGGACCAGCATAGGGGAGAGTAGAGCCAGGGTGAGTAAAGGGGGTTCAGTGAAGTTGCACTTCAACTTAGCCTGCAACCTACAGCGAATACATGGTGGGCCACTTAGGGACTGGGTCCTCTCTTCTGCATCAGCCTCCAGAATCACTCAACAGCCAATTAAAAAGAGAAATCACATGCACAAAGATGATTCCATTTTCAGCCATTCATATTTTGATGGCTCACCATCACCACACACACAAAAATAAAGACGGAAATAAGAGCAATTCAAGACTCCTGTCTCCCACAAAGGGAGGCCTTGGTGGTTCCGGAGTGGAATTCTCACCTTTCATGCTGAAGGCTTCCTCTGATTCCCAGCCAAGGGCATCTCCTGCGCAGCCACCACCTGTTGGTCAGTGGACATTTGTCTTGCTGTGATGCTAACCGGATTTCCTTGGAGCTCTGGACCATGAGAGACTGGCACTCTGCTTCAGACAAATCCACCACCAGAAACCCTAGGGATCACTGGAGTCTGGTTTGCAACCCGGCTTGAGAATGATGCAGCACCAGGCGGCACTTCATTCCGTTGTGCAGGGGCCAACATGAGTCTAGACTCTCCATGGCTTGGGGCCCAACTTGATGGCCCCTAAATAACAAAGCCTATGCCACAGAAGCTGATGCTGACTCATAGCAACCCTGGAGACAGAGTAGACCCAGCATCCAGGGTTTCCAGGCCTCTGATCTTTATGGGTGCAGACCACCAGGTGGTTTCGCCTACAGATCCACTGGATGTGCTTGAAGTGCTGATTTTTTCAAGTAACGACCAAGCCCTTAACCAGGGCTCCTCCACTGTACATAAAGCTCTTAGAACCATAGAGGGTGGATTAAGACCAAACGGCGTCTGAGGACCTGCACTCGCATAAAAAGCCATAGGGGCATGTGGCGGGGTGCCTCTGGCCCCATGCATAGTGGAGCGAAGCAGGGACTGGGCCTGCAGTGCCTTCATGATCACTGCCACGCACAGCTTCGTGTTGGCCATCTCGGTGCATTTTGAGCAGCTTCCAACCTCAAAGCTTGTCTTTTAGCACCAGGCTATACAACACTTCTGATTCTTACGGCTTTCATTGACTAATTGTCAGAAGTATATCTCCAGACCTTTCTTGCTAGTTTGTCTTAACCGGGAAGCTCCTCTGAAGCCTGTCCACCATGGGTGAGCCTGCTGGTATGCAAAATCCCAGTGCTATAGCTTCCAGCATGCTATCAACTCACAGGCCACAGAGTGACAAAACTGACGCATGGTTGTGGGACAGATTCAGAAACGACATAAGTAGACGTATGATGCATATCTATTCAAGGCCCCGGGTGGTGTAGTGGATTACACCTTGGGATGAATGAACCACAAAGTCAACAGTTCAATCCTATTGGCTAAATTGAGGGAGGTGAGGCTTTCTACTTTCATAAAGATTGCTTAAATTGATTCGATGGCAATGGGTTTGGTTTTGACAGAAAAACTTAACACTGTTATTGAGTCAATTCTAACTCAGAGTGACCCTATAAAACAGAGTAGAACTATCCCTGTGAGTCTCTGAGACTGTAACTCTTTATGAGAATAGAAAGCTTCAGCTTTTCCCTCGGAGCTGGCTGGTGGTTTTGAAAAGTTGACCTTGCAATTAGCAGCCTGCTGAGTAACCAGTAGTCCATCAGGAGTCCTGGTTTTAATACATCTCCTGGTTTGAGTATTGTGGTAGTTACATAATCCGGTGTCAATTTGGGATGTGAGAGGATTAAGAATGTAGGGGTGGAGTCTAGCTTATCAATCTGGTGATAGTCAATGAGCCCTCTGTGTGGTCATGGTCTTCCCCTAAGGATTCTGGGAACTCCAATATTTCCTCCTTGGAGGTGGCAGACACTCTCTTGACTCACTCCCTGTGAGACATTTCTGAGGAGAAGCCACATGAAGCTACCCTGAGGCCATCAGAGTTTTGAAGCTGAAGGAACCACGTGGAGACCCCTGACAGTGCTGAGATGCTTACAATGCCACTGGATCTACAAGACTTCCAACCCACTGGCCTGTGATCTGCCTACATTCCACATCATTGCATGTGTTTTGTGAATCAGAAGAGGACTTTATAGATTGGTATCGGACAGATGGGCTAATATCGGACTTATGAACTTGATCTGGACTGGACTGGGATGTTTTCTCAATATTCAATTGCTTCTTGTATATAAACCTCTTTCTTATACACATATGAGTGTCTATGGATTTGCTTCTCTAGTCTTACCAAACTAACACAAGTATATATTAAAATTTGGGTATTATAAGTACTTGGGATGAAGGGTTTAACTAGGAAGGGAAAGACCAAAAAAGTTCCGTAGAAGGGTAAAAATGCAAAAATAACATTTGAGAAACATTCATTTATATGTGGTATTAAAAGAATAGTACTGTCTTATGTATGGATTGTTATGATTCCTCAATTCCATTGTTTTTTCAGTGAACCCCCCCATTCACTCCCCTAGTCTGCCCTATGATAAAGTGCAACAGGCACCAAGGAGAAGGGGCTGGATGGTGTGTGGGGAGAACCAGGGCCTCAGGCATGCATGCTGGCAGGAGGAGGAGAAAGATAAGTTCTATAGATTGGTAAGAATGAGCCAGGCTTGCAAAAAAGGGCTTAGGAAAAAAGCACTGCTTGTGAATACTACTGCAAGGAATTTGGTTTTAGCTAAATCTTATAGGATAAAAAAGAGAATGAAAATGGGTAAGGGTGGACAGATAGTGAGACCAAGTTCAGATATCGAACGGCATTATATAATGAACAAAGGCATTTAGGGTGTACCTTATAAATGAAAGCAAGCCCTCAAAAAGTGCTGAATGCAGCCTGGACATGTTCAGATGTGCATGCTGGGAAGCTCACACTGCTAGCAAGGAGCAAGGAGGTTTCTGTCTGAGGAAGAGAGGCCTAACCTAGGGTGGCTACATGTTGGGCTACAAAGTCAGCAGTTTGAAACCACCAGCCAGCTCCGAGGAAGAACGCTGACATTGTATACTCCCATAAAGAGTCTCAGAAACCCACAGGGCCAGGTCAATGCTATAGGGTTGCTGTGAATCTGAATCAACTAAATGGCAGTGAGTTTGGTTTTTTGGTTTAAACTAGGAGAGTTGGGG